GGTCATGTATTGGGCTGCTGTGCAGGGGGGATCATGTATTGGGCTGCTGTGGGGGGGGGGGATCATGTTGTCAGAACTATTGGGGCAAAAGGGGATCAAATTATAAGGCCTATACATATTATTTTACATATTTTTACATGGGCATGCTGGAAGCCATCTTTGTCTGTCATGACGTGAATGCAAGTTCATTCTTCCTGGTAGAAGATTCTCACAGAAAATGTTAAGAGTCTTAGCACATACCTTCCCAGGTCATAAATTGTGGGGTCCCAGACAACCAACACAAGATAACCATTGGCCAATGGTGCCAGACTGGGTTATAATGAGATAGATGACCGTCATGTCTCAACTTAAGACAATGAACAAGAGACTTGAATGTAAAAAAATGTTTTAATTATAAATCCACATTTTTATACAGTCCAATAGTGCCCCCTGTAGGTGATTGCACGCCCACATTCCTTGGGGATAAAAGTTTAATGGAAGTTGAGAGCGGGAGAGATCCAAAAGCAGAAAGGAAGTCCATATTAAGGGTAAAGGTCGGAAGCTGATGACAGCTGACCAAGGGGACAGAACTAAAGAGAACCTGACCATCTCTTGTTTCTCCACTGACGCAAAGCTGACATCTCTCAGACAAAAGATTGTGCAATTTCTGGTAACGTATACATGTCTATTTTTCTGTAGGCAATTGACTAGCCATATACATCTAACTAGACCATTTCATCCTTCGAGTTCCTGATTAAATGGAGAGAATTCTAACTGCAGTATGAATTTTCTTTTTCAATCAATAAGAGAAATACACAAATATGTATCATCTCATTGAAGCTGATTTCAGTTTCTAGTCAATGGCTTAGTTATGATGTATACTTAAAAATAAATGAAAGTGACAAAGTCTAATTTTTTTCCACCTCCCCCCAATGTTAATGTTAGCACTTACCTTAAATGATGTCTCTTAATCGGATCTTCCTCTTCTTTCCCCATGTTTTCATCTGTCCCTCCAGCGCTGCTGCGGGTCTCCCATCCAGCGCTGACTCCTCTGTCCTTGCTGGTACTTCTGATCCAGTGGTGTCTGCATGCAGGTGCACGCGTTCATAGACTTACCTTGCGTCTCTGCTCGTCTCCCGGCCGAAAATCCAAACTGCGCATGCGCCCGCCCCAGGATGCTTTGTAGCCGTCCGAGCAGTTTCGGATTCTCGGGCGGGAGCGCGTGGCGATAACGGGTAAGTTTAAACCGCTGTTAAAGTGTTTATATATATATATATATACACTTTTTGCCTGTATCTACTGCTTGCTAGCAGTAGATATAGACAAAAAAACGGAGGGTTTAGAAACCCTTTTAACTTAGTGGAAATTTGTCTTTACCTTAAATATAGTCTTTGTTATAGCCAATCGTGTGCATGATGTGACAAATTTTGCCCATGTGCTGTTAAAGGTTGAGCTTGTGAACATCTATTTGCTGAGAGAAGTCACGTGTCAATTCTGAAGAATTTAGTTTTCACATTCTGTGAGCTACTGAGAAGCTATTAATTGTATTCTGAAGTGACTTAGTTTTGTTACATTGATATTGTGAAATAATATCCTGTGATTGTATATTTCACATTATCTGTATTATCAATATTATTGACATTTTCATCCATATTCTGTGTTTGTCACCAGTCATCTTTTGACATTTATTCTGCACTGATTTTTAGTTAATAAATATAAACAGTTTTTCGATTTATGAAAACAAGCAAGGATCTATAAAAGGAGATTCTCAACTTATTTCCACAAATCAAAAATAACTCGAGTTTGCTTATTTGTGCTAACCTGAAGACAAGAGGAATACAATAGTGTGCAAAAATATATATTTTAGCAGTATAAACATTCTGACAACGTATTAGGCTTCTGTGGGGGGGATCATGTATTGGGATGCT